TTCTTAATTTCAAAATAGTAAATGGTCATGAAGGCTTATTTTCTCGAAAAATTGTATTTTACGTATATATATAGATAATAGAAAAAATTATCCGATCATTTACAAAGAATTAAAGGTTAGTAATAGATGCAAGTGTCAACTCAATCATGCAACTGTCTAAGGTCCATGATGAGCGCCAAACTATTTATCCATAAAACGGTACGATTGAATTTGTACATGGTTTATAGACAAGCGAATCGATTTGACCCCAAAATGATAAATAAATTAAATAAAAATACAAGACTTGGCATGAAAATCGAGATAATTAAGACAACAAATAGCTTGGTTCCGGAAGCAAAGCTTCCGAAGGCAATACTAAGAATATAGAAACAAAGTGTTATTGCGCTTAGAATAACGTGTAACATAAGTTTGTTAGAGAATTCATGTCCTTACAATGGTTGTTGAAGTCACTATTTATAGTTGCACCTACGGAACAAGATCCTAGGATCAAACCCCTCTTAAATGACAATTATGCGGGCCATTGATGAATGTGTAACGACATGCTATGAATGCCAAAATTCTCTATAACGCATTGTGTATTTAATACTGAAGAATATTCCTCATTGAATTTCATCGGGTGGCAAACATTCGTTTGTCTTCATTAGCAACATTCCCTTTGGGATTTTCCCGGTGCCAACCAAAGATGTTGTCCCCGATCTTTGTTTCTACTTGCTTTGCTTTCCTTCTGTCTCCGGCTCCACGTGTCGCTCTACTATTCAAGTATTAAATACGAACCGATTTTACCCTCTCTCTCTCTCTCNGTAGGTAGATATTCCTCCGTTCTGATTTATGTAGTACTCTATTATTTTTAGTCTGTTCCAAAAAGAATAATATATTTTATCTTTTGTAGCAATTTAACTTTAAAATATTTTTAATTTATCTTAATGAGATAATTTATAGTCACACAAATATCTATAGCTCATTTTAGATCACACTTTCATTAATCTCATGTATTTTTTAAACTTCATAAGGGCCGTTTCGCCATACAAATTTTTTTTTTTCAAAAAACAAATTCATTTTTTTTTTCAAATCATGTTTGACCATAAAATTTTCAATTTTCACTTGAAAAACTCCAAAAGGTTGTTTTTCAAAATTTTCACTTCAAATCACTCACAAATATTTAAAAAACATCCCAAATTTGTATTCTATCTCCAAATACAATTTAACTTTCAAATTACATTTTCACTTAAAAAAAAAAATTCCGCAATTCTTATGCCCACGCAGTAAAACACCGTCACATAAAAATTGGGACGAAGGAAGTAATACGTTTGAGAATTTGGTGTGACAAAAGGTAACACTCCTTTGACAGAGACAAAAAAGGAGTTGACATAGAAAGAAAGAGATTAATATTCCCTACTAGGGGAGCTATTGTAATAGCTGTAGAACGAACCCGATCGACAATCAACGACTTAGCACTTGTCGTGTAGTGAACAAGTCACGTTTAAAAATGCAATCCCATCTCAAAATCCAGCTTCCACAGTCAAATCTCACCACCTTTCACCCAATATATACATAAGACAGTTTTTCATCACTTCCTTCAAATCAACCATTCATTCAATCTGCAGAGAGCAGACTATAAATAATAAATAAATAAAAGAAAGAAAATGTGTGGCATATTGGCGTATTGGTGAGCAGATACATAGTTGAAGCCCTTTTTAACGGACTGAGGCGTTTGGAGTAGAGAGGGTATGATTCCGCTGCAATTTCTATTGATGATTCCAAATTCCTTCCTTTACTCTTCCGCTAAGCAGGCAATATCGAATCACTCGTCAAATCTGTCTACCAAGGTAATTACTTTTTCTTCTCATCTGCATGTTTGCTCTTTTTTCCTTTCTGTTTGGGATGAGGAAAAAAAAAAGGAGGTATTTTGCTGCTCCGAAATAAAGTCATGAAGAGGCTGTAAAAAGTGAGATGTACGTTGCCGGATCGTTATTTTTTCTAGCTTTCTCAGGTTTTCTCCCTTTATTGAGTTAGTGTGGCTCTTGCAACAAACATGCATTTGCCCCCTATACTTCTGCTAGTGGGAGATAGACAGATACCGTAGAAATAGTAGCAAGCTAGGCCAAACACTATTGCTATCACAAAAAGAAAAGAGAAACAAAGCTTTCACCCTGGGCTTATGAAGGGGAGACTAGAGGCAAAGGGTTCAAGCTGTGGAAAAGGAATGTATAGTAAGACTGTGTACATTAGACACAATGTGGTTTAGTCCTTCCTCGCACCTTGCACATAATGGGAACTTAGTGCACTCGGCTGTCCTTTTTTCTATCCTGAGCTTCCCTTTCATGCATCTTTCATGATGAGAGAACCCCCCTTTTCCCCTATTATTATTACTGGTATAAAATGGTAATGGATAGTATTAAGTATTGGTTAAAGTATTAGCCTCACATCAGTGTCTAGTGCCTCCTGAAGCACTGCAGTTCTTAGCAGAGTAACATGAATTCAGATGATATATGATAGAAGGGATGATCTTAGTGGATAACTGCAAATTTAAGTGCTGAATCTGCGAATTTTTTTTCCCTTATTTTTGACAATTTGAATGATCATACATAGAAAGTGGGTACTAAAATATTCTATGAAAAGCTCTCCCTTGGCTTTCTAGATGGTTGTTGGAAAAGGTGATCATTGTTAAGACTAGATAAGAGTGAACGTTGTGCAAAAGCTCCTAATGTTGAGGGGAAACTGATTCATTAAAACATACACACTGTAATGTCATGTCAAAGGGAATATGTACTACTTTAATCAATCCGTAACTGAATAAATATTCAAGCAGTCTCCACCATAATGAGTAGGTTGTTTGTTTCCTTCCATTATGCTTATGAAATGAGAACTTTGTGATAGTTTATATGAGTCCACCAAACTATAGAGTACCAGGTCCTCTGAGTTTCCACTGAGAATACTAATAAAACAGTAAGTAAATAAGACAGGGAGTTTTACGTGTAAAAATCCTTGCTCAAGGGATTAAAAATCACGACTTACACTGGTAGGATTTCAACTTCACTATGAACAACTTTTAGATTACAACCTATGCAATCTAGGAATTAAACTCTTAATCCCTCACTAACTCGTAATACACCTATTACAAGCCACTTTGCAATAAACCTATTACAAAGACTTCAACTCATGACTAACTCTAGTCACGACACAAACACAAAGGGTTTATGGTTTTACAAAGGGGTTCCTAAGCAACGCTTCTAGCTAAGCAATTTAGGAATTACAATGGAGAACAATTACAAAGTTACAACTCAACTAAGGACAACAAAATACTCATGATTAACTTTGTTCTTGAGGCTCTTGAGAATTAAATTCGCTGTCTTAGAAGGCTTGAATGCTTGAAGAAAAATCTCAAGTATTCAAGTGATGTTTTGTTGTAATACTCTTGTTAATACACCTTTGATGACATCACTTGAATGTTGTAAGCACTTGGTTGGTCAAAGGATAAGTGACTGCAAAACTGCTGCACTATTTCTGTGGCAGTCACTTTCTAGCTGTGCATAGTTGACTTTCGTACTGCTGTCAGGGACACACAAGGGATCAGGTCCCTGTTTTGTTTCTCTATTTTCTACACTTGCAGCAATTCTCATTAGCTGGAGTCATGGCTGGAATCCGTTGATTAGCAATGTGTACCAAGTGTGTCAGGTTCCCTATCTGGTTCTTGACAGTAAGTTTGTTAGATCATCAAAACATAAGGCAAAGACATTGAAAACTCATCACTTTGTGTAGTATACTATTCACTACGTATGGGATTTAACCAAGTATACATAATTTTCTAAAATTTACCAAGATTTGATGTTTTTGTTCTTCTGTATGCAAGAGCTTATTAGGGCTTATTAGCAGGCATAAATAATCGACAAAGCTCTGAGCCTAGCTCTGAGCCTTTAATGGGTTTGAAGTAGTTTATTTTTGGAACCAATTAGACTCAATAATGTTGAGCAATAGAGGAAATGTGGCATGATGTTGAAGGACAGAATAGAAGTTGTGTAGGATAAAACAAAGAGATTACATTTTTCCCGAGTAGAAAGTATAATGATTGTAAACTTAGAGTTCATTATGCTCACTATCAACATTTTAGACTACAGCTAGTTTCTTCAGATGTTAGGCAGAATGATGCGTGCCACAAGTTGAATATGAAGGGTTTTTTATGGCCACTCTTAGCATGTTCAATAGTTTAAGAAAATGACCATGCTTAACTGTTGAAAAGATTTCTTCCTTGGCCAAGAGCAAGAATTAGAGGACGTGAAGGTTTGAAGACATTGTTCGCCTTTTTTTCATGTTTTTTCTTTATTAAAAAGCATTTTCAAACCTTAATGTTCTGCTTCCTAGTCAGCGTTCATTGAATTCATTTTGCTTGATTATGTAGCAGTGTATGTGGTTGGGCCTGCTGAACCTCCAACATTCTATCTTTTTATGAAAATTATTTTGTTAGAGATGTATGGGGTTCATTTTATATAAGTAGTCACATTTAAATAGTATAATCATGTAACTACTTAATTAGAGAAGATAAATCAAGCAGATAACTTCTAGGTGGTATTTCACAATCATTGGGATGTAATTAGTCACATGTATTGTAATTATACAACTATGTTATTAATGAAACATAATTCAGCCAGATACATTAGAAGTAGTATCTCATAATCATTGGGACTAGGAGTCTTTAATAAAGCAAAATTATTTTTCTGTATCACAAACGGTTGAAGACATTGCTCTCATACATTTTCAAACTTTTGGTTTTCTCTCTTGCTTACTTTTCAAACTTTTGAACCTTAACTTATGCTTTCTTGTGAGAGTATGTTGAGTCAAGTTTGCTTGATATTGAGCAATGACTATGTTCAACTGTGGTTAACAACTTGTCAGAGTACATAGCGACGTCGTAAAACCAGGATCAGAAATTTATCTGTTTATGTCTTCCATGGCTCCATTCTAATAAAATGGCCAAAACATTATTAAACATTTCTCCTTTAAAGTTTACTTATACATTTACATTTTTTTGTNTTGAATCTGGAGGAATCATTTTCTATTCATGCTGGAATAGCACACACTCGGTGGGCCACACATGGGGAGCCTGCTCCTCGGAATAGTCATCCTCAGTCCTCTGATGCTAGGAATGAATTTCTGGTTGTTCACAATGGTGTTATCACCAATTATGAGGTTCATATGATTCTCTTGCTAATAGATTTCTTTTATAACATTTTTTGTTCGATTCTCATGATTACTCTCATTCTCTGTGACATGCTAGAGGCTGTTTCTGTTACATGCATGATTCTGTTCATTGGATTTTGGCCTAACGAAATGTTATTATTTGCTTCTTGAACTATTTATAGGAGTGATTCTACTTTTTGTATTATGTGTCTTATTTTTGGATTACAGTTCATTCATTTGTTAGAATTTGGTTGCTGTTGATAAAAAAATACATTTGTTAGAATTTGGAACTTCTCTCTGAATTCTGAAAGATTCTTTTAAAAGGTAAAATTCGCAGGGACTATATCCTAGCTGAAAAACTTATTTTTATCCTTGAATTTATTCAGTACTGGAAGTACTATCTTGATCCTGTGGAACATTGTCAGCATTTTCTCTTTAAGCAAATTTGAAGTTACAAATTAGAGCTGACATGACATTCGAAACTACTTTACAGTGTGGAAGTATTAGGCTAAAGACTAACAATTAATTCATTCTTGGTGATTTAAGCTAATGTAGGGAGACAGTGAAAGCTTTATTCATTTACTTTGAACATTGGATGAGAACTTATGGAAAGAAACTTCTGATATCTGCAAGGATAGAATATTTGGTCAACAACAACAATATACCTAGTGTAATCCCATAAGTGGGGTCTGGGGAGGGTAGAATGTATGCAGACCTTACCCCTACCTTGTAAAGGTAGAGAGGTTGTTTCTGGTAGATCCTTGGCTCAAGGAAAGCATAATCACAACAGTTTTGAAAAAGAAATACGGTTGTGAAGAAGCCATGGGAAAGAGACGGATAGAATATCTGATCAATGTCTTTAATTAGTTGGAAGGAAAGACGAACAGCTGATAAATGCAAGTATGAAATTCCCTTGTAGATCATGCAGTTGTTACACATAGAAACATGCATGAAAGATATGCTTCATTAAGGATATGATTTGGCATATCTGGAGACCCGACCATCCCTAATCCACAATATTACATACTCTTCTTTGGTGATTGGTGGTGAAAGTCATGCAACAAGCGTCTAGGTCATATACTCACAACTGGATACCAATGCTCAAATTGGTAAACGAATCCAGTACAGTTCTATTTCTATTGTGATCGAGGAGCTATTTTCTTTTCTGTAACAACTTAACTTATGACAGCTCAGTTGAAAAAATAACCTGTTCAAGCATCTTCCAGAAATAAGACGAAATATCAAAGGTTCAGCTCTATTGGAAGAATGGCAGCCATGTTGGCTGACACTCAATCTATTTATAATACAGACAAGGAATAAAAAGGACACTATAAGATATCAAGTATTCATTTGTCTAACAATATATCCAACAATAATATTAACTTTGCAGTTGTCAAGGGTTCTCAGATTGAAAGCCCTATCCTTAGAGCCATAAAATGACTTCCTTTATCCCAAAATAGAAAAAAAAAGCCATAATGACTCCCTCAGGGCTGTGTAATCGTAAGGTTGCTTGTTCATGTAGTCGATTGGAATACATTTGATTTTAGTTAGTAGATATCAGAGTATTTGGAGTTTGTCTCATATAAGTACTCAGAAACTCGAGTTAGCATACAGTTCCTTTAGCAGAAGATGGAACTCATTCAGTCTGTTCGCAACATATAGTTTTTTCTTGTATAGGTGTCCAGATCATGGTGGTAAGAATTTTGTCCAGATGGAGGATTCATGATAACTTGTTGGCAATGCTCAGATGTAATATCTCTTTCCATGTGGAACCTGAAGTTTTAGTTCATGTTCCACGTAGACAATGGTTTTTCATGTTTACCACTACGTAGATAACTTATAATAGTGTCATGTTTCCTTTCTGAGAGTTAGTGCTCATCTAGTATTTTTGCTTGTTCGTTCTGAAATGAGAAATAAGTTTGGACTTGAAATATCTGTTGAATAGTAATCTGGAGCACGTTAATTAGATATAGCTGTTTTTTTCATTTTGATTTTTTGTTTTAGAGTTCCTTCTTCACTTTCTTTCTTTAATTTCTTTTTGAACTGATTGAAGTTCACGAGGAGAAAAATATATACCGCAGATTACCAATAAATAAAGATGCACCCCGAATTGTGTTGTCTCTTGATATTTTTTTCTGTTTGCATTAAGATATTGTCGATCACTTTCCTGTAATATGTGGCTGAGTGCTATATGCTGATGCACCCTCTGTCTTTTGATTCTCCAGGTGTTAAAACAGACCCTTGTCCGTCAAGGTTTCACCTATGAATCTGAAACAGACACAGAAGTAATTCCAAAGCTAGCAAAATTTGTTTTTGATAAAGCTAATGAAGAAGGTAAGTTTCCAAGTAAATCCAGTTAATTTATCAGAAGGCAGTTTCATTTTGTCATCTAATCCTCTTTTTCTTTTTGATTCCTTATCCATGAAATGTGGGAAAAGGATAGCCAGTCATCAGTCTATTACCCTAGGATAGATTCTAAAGATCTAGAGCATCAAAAGGGGGTAACACCCTGAGATGTCTAAATTATGTGAAAAGTGAAAAATCCTTGGAAAAGATACAGCCAGCAAATTTATACTTGATGGATAACACTTGATTATACTCTAATAGTAAATATAAGACCCCCCATCTCACAAGTCATCACTCGACAAAAATATCAGAGGCTTAAGAGTGAAAACTAATAATGATAATAAGACCAATTTAAATCTTACAGGGGAAAAAGAATCATAATTAACTCATGTGCCTTCCATTAATTTGAAAATGCACTGCTTTGGTGTTTAACCTCTGGCAGATTATCAAATACATAAATACTGGCTAGAGCTCCAATTTGACCCAAAAACCTAGCATATTAACTATGCAGTTTTAGAAACTAAGCAAATGATATTTTACACTCTGATTTTGTGGTTCTAGGTTGTTTCGAGTTCCAGCACTTGACGATTTTAGCTCAATCCTATGAAATCTCACTTTTTGCAACTTATTTAATTGGCTCCTTTGGCACCTTTCCGCAAAGAAATTTGCTAAGTACTTGTCACGACCCGAACCGATGGGCCGCGACGGGCACCCGGTGCCCTTACTCAACCGAGTACCAACGTAACGTATCTTTCTCACTATATCAACATGGGTAAATGGGCCAGAAGGGCCGTATGAGGTAACAAGAATAAAACATGAGAGAACACTCGACATAAAACGATACAACCTGATATACTGACTTATACATATGACGTATGGGCCTATAAGGCCAAAATAATCACTCGTACACTGAACATAGGCCGACATGGCCATACAATCTTTCATATACATGACATATTTCTACAAGCCTCTAAGACTACATAAACGTCATAAGGCCAGGACAGGGCCCCGACATACCAATCAATACATGTCTAAATCATACTAACCAATAAGCAACTCCGGAGCAAATGGAGCGCACCAACATCTTCCGCTGAGCTGATAGCATACTTGGAGGACTCTCAACCTGTCTATCGGGACCTGCGGGCATGAAACGCAAAGTCCGCAGGCAAAAGGGACATCAATACAAATAATGTACCGAATATGTAAGGAATGAAAATCAGTAAACAATATACATGAGAGAAACATGGAGTAAAAGACTCAACATGTATATCTGAATAGCTCTGTGAATCATTAATATGTATAATGCCATGCATATGCGTATAAATGTCATGTCATGCATAGGTACATGTGTTCATAACATCATCAAGCCTCTGAGGGCATCCCATCATATTATCTCGGCCACTGTGGGCAAAATCATCAACGTATACTAGCTGATCAGGTGGTAGTGCGTATATAACGACGTAACCTTTTCCTATATCCCATATACATATAATATACATATATATGCGTATATAATGTCATCTGGTCATGGGTCAATGTACATGTATAAATGAATGCAATGCATGAGAAGTACGTCAATAAAATCTCTCGGAATGTCACAAGACCATTATGCCTTTGAATAATATTATGAAGTAAACTTTATCATCTTACGTATTTTCTGAGACCCATGAACACACGATAGACAATAAGACATATGGGAATTCAAGAACATAGTCACTTCAATACTTCTATGAATAGAGTCATTTATGGAAGTTGTGCATTTACTCGTTTCGTTTGTGTCGTATAGATCATGCCAAAAGGAAAGAAGGGATAGTCTTAACATACCTGAGTCGATTCTTTTGACAATCTCTCTAATATACGTCAATTGTGACAAATCACGTAACGGCAAGATCGGAGTAGGGAAAAATCCGTATGATATTCTTGAGAAAGATTGCACCGTACTCCCTTATAATTGCAAAATCTCACGTTGCTTAAGATGCTATGAAATCTCACGTTTTTGAATTCTTGAAGATCCCTGAAAGCTCACGTTATTGAATTCTTGAAGATCTATGAAAACTCACGTTATGGAATTCTTGGAGATCATACTTTAGCATTTGATAAGCTCACGTTATGGAATTTTGGGAGATCATACTTTAGCATTTGATAAGCTCACGTTATGGAATTTTGGGAGATCATACTTTAGCATTTGATATATACTAAAGTGGAGAAGCCTTTTATTGAGTGGGTGTGGGCCCCACTTCATGTGGTGGCTTAGCCACATAGCCCTTAATATTGCCATCTTAACAAAGTGATTTTAAGAGTCATCAATTGGGGATGAGGGGTGCTGCCACGTTAGGGAGATGTAATTCTTATCCAAATATTTGAATTAATTATCCACTAATCACTTGATTAACTTGTTAATCTCTCATTAACCAATAATTACCCAATTATCCACATAATTAGGAATTATCTCAAATTACTTAAAATACTACTCGCTTTTAACACACTTTATACACCTTTCTATTATGGTCATGTGGTACCTTGTATGACACTAGTTCATAAATACCAGGTACTATAGCTCGGACTGTATCTTATCCCAAATTGTCAAACTTAGACGAAACTCATTTTCTTCGATTTGCTTACTCACCTTCATGAATTTACTTATCCCTTGTTTGAAATAGCATAATACTTATAATCCCAAAATAATCTCATTCTCGAGTTTATGTCGATTAACTTACGACGAAACTTTAACGTATAAAAATACGGGATGTAACATCTCGTTTCCGAGCTTTCATCAATTTACTTATGGCATACTTCCACGTACGAAAACATGGGGTGTAACGGTACTGTTGTGATACTTTAAAATCTTCTTTACCTTGTTAAGGAAAACCTTAAGTCCCTATAAAATAGGGGTTAATATGTTTTGGGATTTATAATACCATTGACTATCTCTGTCCAGATATACTTGGCAATTTTCTGTTTTCACATCCATCCCAATTTCCTTCACAATTTTACCTAATTTTCTAATTCTTGTATTCCAAAAATTCAAATGCATATACAAGATAATACTACGTAACGACTTCTTGGTCATGGTTTCATATTGTTTTAAAAAGTTACCCCTATTTTCACTCGTTTCAATGTAAGGCTGTCCAACGGGACGGGCCGTCCTGTCCCGCGTCCCGTCCCGTCCCGCTTCAAGTTAAATGGGATGGGCCAATGTTTAACGAGACACGGGATGGGACGACCATTTCGTCCCGTTTGTCCCGTCCCGTTTCGTCCCGTTTCATCCCGTCCCGTCCCGCCAGAAATTAATTNTATTTTTTCCCACAAAAAATCAATTTTGTCTCTCAAATCTCTTATATTCTAATATTCTATCTATATTCTATATTGTTCTCTCAATTTTGTTACTATCAAGTATCAAGTGATATCTTTCAAGTTTCAACTTTCAAGTATTCGGGCAAATTTTTTGGAGCAACTTTCAAGCTTCAAATTAATTCGTTAAGTATTTGGAGCAATACTTTGGGCAATTTCTTCAAGTTTCAATATTTAATACGGTGCACTCGTTCCATCTCCTAATTTTAATATATAATTTTTGCGTATCATTTTAGTGCTTAATTTTTGTGTTTACTTTACGTGTTATATTTTCGTATTTCATTTGTGTGTTTACTATTTGTGTTAGCTTTTTTAATTTAATTTCATATTTAAATTATGGCACCTAAAAATATATTTGGTATTTTTAAAAAAAGTAGTAAAAAAATAGTAAAGGTGAAAGTAGTAGTAATCTTAATCCTAACCCTTCTCCTAGACCTAGAGTTAGAAAGCATATTGATGAAATGACTCATGTTGATGAAACTTCATTTTTCCAACCCCCCACATTTTATGATGTTCATGTCGGAGAATAATTAGATCATGAAACTTACAAAGACAATTTGGCAATGATATTTTTTTAAAGGATGAAGAAAATAAGGAAGAAAAATTAGATGAAACACCCACTAGTCCCGCAACACAAGCTCCAACTCAGAGTCAATCTCAGTCTGGAGCTTTACCCCATGTACCCCTTGTAAGGGGTAAGCCTAAGACTGAACGTCCCAAAACATCACTTGTATGGAAATTTTTTAAACATGATAAAGTCAATCATCGTGCTATATGTGAAAAATGTAAGCAAGTATTTGCACACTCAACAAGTGGTGGGACGGGGGTTTAACTAGACACTTAAGAAAGGATCACAAATCTTTACGGATACAAGCTAACATAGAAGCTGGAAAAATTATAGATCCTACCATCAGTTTGGCACTCCTAGTGGATCTGGTTCTAATCAAATTCAACACAACTTGACCCTGCTTCTGGTCATGTTTTACGCAAATATAACAAAGATAGAGATCGTGAGAACTTAGCAAAAATGGTGGCTGTCTGTGGCTTACCTTTTACTTTTCCTTCTCACCCTGCTTTTGTGCATTATATACAAGAAACTTATAACCCTGCATTTCAAGGTTTTCCTAAGACTACGGTTAGAAATGATGTTTTTAAATTTCAAACCGAATATCTTCAGTATATTCATTGTGTATTTTTTCACTTAGATTGTAAAGTGTCTATCACATCTGATATAGGTCGTAGTCCTAATGGTTGTGATTATTTAACTGTTACATGTCATTGGGTTGATCATCACTGGAACTTGCAAGAACATATTATTGGTCAGAGAGCTTACTGATCAAATTGTTGATTCTGATTGGGATGCGATCAGAGAGCTTACTAAATTTTTAGAAAAATTTTATTATGCTACAAAACAATTTTCTGGTATANATTGAACTTGATTCTTATCTTAATCAAGGATTGGAAAATATTAAAGACGAAGAAGGCAATGAACAACTTTTGTCATGGTGGAGGGAGCGTGGCAAGGCTTTTCCAACACTTTCAATTATGGCCCGAGATATCCTGGCTATTCAAGCATCATCAGTAGCATCTGAGAGTGCTTTTAGCGCGGCAAGATTTCAAATTGGAGATCATAGACATTAATTAGCGGAGGACAGTCTAGAGATTTCTGTATTATTCAGAGATTGGATTAATTCAGAAAGAAGAAATCTTGGTTTTGAAAAATTAACCACTAGGGAAGAAGAAGAATACAATGAGATACAAACCACTGGGAGCGATGACGGCATGGAGCTCATGGAACACCAATCAACATTGCCAATTCCAGCAGAACGTCCGAGAGATATTATTGATAAGTTACAAAAAAGCTATATAGGAGCTTACAAATATTAATATGATAATTTGTAATTGGCTACTAAGAGGCCTAGTTCAAACAGAACCCTTCCTAGAAGGTGGCTGCGTAGATTAGGTGCTCTTCAAAAGAATTATATTTGTATTTGAGATTTGAAAGTTCTATTAATAACATAAAAGGCTCTAAGTGTTGAATTTTATTTATGAATTGTTTTAGTTACTTAATAGTTAATACTTTGAAATTATATTAAATATATTATAACTCTATTATAAATTTATAATTACTAGAATATTTCATTACAAGTCTTTTGTTTTAATATTTTATAATTCTTTACTTAGTTTTTTAATTTTCATTTTAACATAGTAACATTTAAGTTTATTAAATAGTTAGTCAAAAATCTAACCGTTGCAAACTTTAAAAACAAAGTAATTTTCAAAAAACTAGACGTTTTTTTTTTAAAAAAAAATACACTTAAGGCCCACGAACCCGTCCCGTCCCGTCCCATCCCGTTTGTTAGCGGGACGGGATGGGACGAACGTTTCGTCCCGTTTGTCCCGTCCCGTTTCGTCCCGTCCCGCCACCGTCCCGCTTAAATATCGTCCCGTCCTGTCCCGTTGGACAGCTATAGTTTCAATGCACCTAAATATCCGAGCTATATTTTCAGATCTCCACTTTAGTCGAGTGGAGTCAAGTAAACTGTGACAGAGCTTGTATATCTGTTTCTGCAATGAAGTTACTTTCATCATTATTTGGTTTCTCTTTACAATGTTCTATCCCAGTGGTTGACTTCTTTGGGTTTCTCTATGCAACTTATTCTCCCCAAATAGTCTTTGACTACTTGTTTTACCCCAATGGGAACATGTTATTATATATATGCTTTTGCCTACTCCGTCATTGACCATTTGTCACGATCTAAACTAGGGGTTGTGACCAGCACCTAACTAGTAACCCCCTTCAAGTGAACCTCTGGTAAGCCTGTCTAAAGTAGCAGATAACTATCTCAATATACTTAATATAACCATACATGTATATACACCTTCATACTTGCTAACAAAACTTACCCAGGATTGGACTGCAAGTACATGGAGCAAAATCTACAACATTGAGCTTAAGCACCCAAGGATCAAAATATAAGAACTTCCGAAAACCCTTGCTGATGTTACACCGGAACGAGACATACGCTGCATGGTAAATCCTGCATGTTGCAGTAACCCTCAGACCTACGTTCCTTACTCATAATGGTTTTACCATGTCACGCTAAGTCCTTCTCCATGATACGGAAAAGCTTCGTTGCTTTGGTCCTACCATGAAAGCGTCAAATCTACCAGTTATGGCAACTGCTCTGGTGCTGTACCAGCTTCATATTTCAGCTTTTAACCTATTTTCACTTTCTCCAACTATTCTTTATGTATTCTAAGGATCATTTCTTTATGACAACATGTTAATCAGGTTTTAAACTACCATTACGACTTAAATCAAATTAAATTAAAAAGTTAATGACTCATCCAAGTTGGTGTTACATCTTATCCTGTGAATTATAGCAGTACAATATATGTTGGTAATTTTTGTTCATTGCTAGAAGTTGTCCGTACATTCTCTCCTTAGTCAGTTTAGTGTTTGAGAAGTTTATCACAGTCACAGCTGAGGACTAAACAAATTCTCATCAGATTCTTAGAGTTATGGTTGTCTTTCTGATTAATGTAGATGCATTTTGACAAACTTCATTGTACATATTTTGGCTGGAGATGTCAGACGACGGATTTTCAAGTAGTTTCTTTCCTTTTGGATTTCTGTTCTTATAAAGCATACAAATTATGGATAAAGTTAGTAGGATAAGTGTTAGTGTCATCACAGGTGACCAGAGCGTGACATTCAGTCAAGTTGTGCTTGAAGTAATAAGGCATCTGGAAGGAGCGTATGCTCTCATATTCAAAAGCCGACATTACCCCAATGAATTGATTGCTTCCAAGCATGGTAGTCCACTGCTTCTTGGTGTGAAAGTAAGTTAAACTGGAAATGAAGCTTGTATCAGCATATATCAGATTCCTTAAGTTTGCTTTGATAAACTTGTTGTTTGCCTTTATATTTACTTGTTAGATGGGCCTTTACCAGTGCTATACCTGTTTGATTAAGGGTTTGGCTCTTTTACCCACTATTTCTTATTTCTTGAGAAACTAAAGATGATAGATATTAGTGTTGTCACATATGAAAGGACACTATTGTCTGATATTGATGTTGCACCAAAAGAGAGAAGAATATAGAGCGAAAAAAGAGAGGAATAAGAGAAAGAGAAAGAGAGAGTGTGTGTGTTACTTAACCAAAAAAGGAAAGAGAGAGAGAGGGAGGAGGGAGGAGGGAGGAGGGAGGGAGGGAGGGAGGGAGAGAGAGAGAGAGCAGGAGAGAGAGAGAGCATCAACTGGCATATGCAAAGATATGGAGATTTTTCCCCTTCAAAAGCAGTGTATAGAACCCTTTCCCAAAATCTTTTAAGCAGGGAAGCTTTGAGAGACGTGAACTTAAGACCAGCTATATCAGATAAGGGTTAGGGAAAGATAGTTGGGGAACTTTAAGAGGTGGAGTAAACTAGTCTTTGACCAACATTAACTGGCATATGCAAAGATATGGTGATTTTCCTGCTCTGCAAGTTCATCTGACTTGGTGTCTTTAGAAGTGAACCGTGTACTTGGTCCTCTCAATCTCTTATTAGGAATTCTCTATATAGCTTCACAACTTGGCTGCTTTAGAATTGTCAAAACTTTTAGTAAAGAATTGGATCATACTAGTTTTAAATCGATACAAACTGATATATGTAGGGACAGTGATGTTTTCTTAAACTATTCTAAGTTGGGGTATGGTGTCCATACTTGTTCATGTGAATATGTATATCTATATGTGTGTGGGTGTACAAATCATGCTATCCCTGAATGCTTTTGAGCTGACAGCTAATGACCCATATAGGGTCAAAAACATCATGTACGCAGATAGAGAAATAAATGATCACTGGAAGTATTTTACCGATAATGCTAACATTTAGCAAAGTTTCTTGAATAAGATTATTTGATTTCCAGGACTCGGAAGAAGAGGCCACTGTTGGATCATCATTTAATAATGTTAAATTTCCTTCAAGCAATGGGCAACCAAAGGAATTATTTTTATCCAGTGATGCTAATGCTTTGGTTGACCGTACAAAAAAGGTCTTGGTTATTGAGGATGGCGAAGTTGTTCATATTAATGTACTCTCTTATTGTTAGTTCTTTATGCTAAGCTATTTCCTTATCCAAAATGGTGCTTTTGACAAGCGAGCTATGAGTATAATTCTAGCTAACTGAGTAATACGACATGCTGCTTAACAGAAAAGGTTTAGTTTTCTTGGTTCTGTTGAGATGAACGCAAGGGCAAATCATTTGGAAGGTCTTCTTCTCCTTTTGTTTTCTTCTTCAAGTATTTAGTTTTGAACTATCCTGCCTTTTCGTAGTATTTTCTTTCTTTTTGCTATATTTTACTTTCTATTTTTTGATGGAATGTTCTCAAACTTCTCTTACAAAAGTAGCAACATTTCTCAACTTGTATGATATATTAGTTGATAATCCTTCGTTCTGAGCGTATTGGGAAAAGAACATTGCCAATTTCTTTTTTGAATAAATATTTAAAGCCGCATTATAGTGGGAGGTTAGGCATGGACCCCTACCCGTAAATGAAAATCCAAAAAGTGTATACATATGAGAGGGGGACGTGATGCCTTACCTCTTCAAAGAACAGTGTCACTAGTCCAAGACTGTCAGCATGAAGAGTTAGTGGATTTTATATATATTTAGCGGCAGAGCTGCTGTTTCATGAATAGAATTCTTGGCTATATTACCGTATTTTGATATAGGTTTACTGTTCCATCACCTTGAACATGCCTGAGTTCTCTTTCTGGTTTCATTCTCTTTTTTCTTTACCTTCTAACTTATCCTTCTTAGGAGGGACTCTGTTTGATTTTGTTGAGTTTTCAAAGAAAGAAGAATTTGTACTTAGTGAGGAACACCTCACCAGCACTTGGTCAGTACCGTTCTCGGCCTTTTGGCTAAGATCAACTCAGTTATTTATTGTCAGTGTTGCCATTTCATTCTTAGGCCTGCACAATGTCTATGCGGTGTATTGCCGGATTTTAGCGTCAATTTCATATGGAGTTAAGAAAGTCAATCTCTAGAGAATAAATTTTGAAATTTTCTTGTAAAACTCTCGGAAAGTTCATAAGAGAACCCAGTTACATTGGTCAGAGTACTATTAGGCCTAAGGAGTAGAGGCTTTTTGCTGCCCCTCCACTCAACTTTTCCCTGTTGTACCATCATGTCTATCTGCTTTTTTCCTTTGATTTTTGAAATATTTCTTGAAAACCTGTGTGAAAGTGACTCACCCATCATTTCTGCTTGTTAACCTGTATTGAGTGATAAATCAGCTGGTCTAGCCTAACCTTTATCTCATAGTTGTAATAATACACTCGGCAGGGCTCTTTATTACCCTATTTTAGCTTATATTGAAGATTTATTCATGGGTTATGAACTTCCAACATTCTGTCAGTTCACAATACATTCACATGTGTAAGTACTCGAAGTTTCTGTGTGAAATATTTCACATTATTCTCTGGACTGGATGCTTCAGGAAGGAAGCTTCTCTAGTTAAATCCTATGTCTAGTCAGAAGTATCACTGTTATTTCATATTCTGATTCTGAGGTAAAAAAAGGGCAGCTCAGTGCACAAAGCATCCCGCGTTCACGCAGGATTCGGGGTAGGGTCGCACCCCAAGGAGGTGTGATGTAAGCAGCCTACCCTGATGCAAGCATTAGTGGCTGATTCCATGGCTTGAACCCATGACCTATAGGTTACACAGAGACAATTTTACTGTTGCTTTGCGAAAACGCAGGATTCGGGGAATGGTCGCACTCCAAGGAGGTGTGATGTAAGCAGCCTACCCTGATGCAAGCATCAATGGCTGATTCCACGGCTTGAACCCATGATCTATAGATCACACAGAGATAATTTTACTGTTGCTTTGCGAAACATAATTTTGGAATTGGATCAATACTTCCAAGTGAATAAGTATGAATAAAGGATCCATGGATGAAGATAGAAAGTTGATTTCTAATTTAAATCTTCAATTTCTTATTTATAAAGAAGAAATTGAAGCAAAATAGCTATTAAACGATGACTTTGGTTTACTAGAGATATCAACATATTGTTTTAGCTCGGTGGAAACAAAATCCTTTTCCTTAGGATCCTATTAAATAGAAATAGAGAACGAAATAACGGTGGCTTAACTAATCAACAAAATCACTTGTTACAAATAAGATCTTGCTGTTGCATCGAAAGAGATAAATGTTGACTAATCTGAACATTGAACTTGGTAAAATGAAATGGTTGAATAATTGAAAAATGAGATTATTCAGTAATACACATTAAATGCTGAGAGGCCTTCTTCGCCTTCCACCTAAGCTGCGCAGGAATGCTGATTATTGCTCATTTCTTTTCAAAACCTCCTATAGACTAGATTGGGATCTTATCCATTTGTAGATGGAGCTTCTATAGCAGCTAGGTCTAGAGGGAAGTTGTGAGCATTACGTTCATGCATAACTTCCATACCAAGGTTAGCACAGTTAATGATATCCGCCCGGGTATTAATTACATGACCTTGACTATCAACTACAGATTGGTTGAAATTGAAACCATTTAGGTTGAAAGCCATAGTGTTGATACTTAAAGCGCCCCCTCCCATCCAATCGCCCTACTACAAAATAAGGCGAGGGATCGACGCCCCACAGAGAACCCAACCTTTTCAAGTAGGGCCTGAAAGAAATCAATTGAACCAATTTTCAGACAAAGAAGATAAGGATCTTCCAAATCATTCCCGTAGGAGATCAAGACCCATTTTTTTTTCCTGATCCTTCGAGAAAAAGATTCATTCTCTTCATAAAAAATAAGAGGTAGAACCAATAAAGATTTCTTTTTCTATTCATCCCTAGCCTCATTCAAGAATTGTTTTTGACCCTATCCGCAGGAATCAATAGAAAAGGCAAATCCCTATGATACACCAGATCGGGCTCGGTTATTGACATAGTGAATAGATATGCCTTTTTTCTTTTTATTGTCTGAATATTCAGGAGCTAAGACTATTCCAATTGCCCCTTTCGCCATGCAATGCTCCAAGGCTATATTATGATTCTAAGGTAATTAAAGGTAATAATGGAGGTCATACTGGAGAGTGGAGACTTAGGGGCTGCGAAAGGATTGTAATGGGAGAGAATCCCCCTCCTCCNCTGGTAGAATTGTATATGTTCAAAGACTTGGATCATTATCATTTGCCAAAGAGTATTATCTGGTTGTAGCATGTTAAAGAGAACAGGGACCATAGCAATTCAAGGTTGGACTAGGATTATTGCCTTCTGGTGGGTTTGCACTAATGGTTCCCAAAAGGGAGAGGGGGTTGAATGTGTCAGTCAGGGTTCTGTGAAGATGTGGATACTCTCACATCTCTATATTGGGGCAACACCTGGGAAGCACATGAGTGAGCCCCTGAATGGTTAGATTGCGCCTCTGTCCAAAACCTACAGATTTTGTTGATCTAGGACATAAGGACTAACTAGTGATGTGGGGTTAAACAAACTATTGATTCTATGGTGTTCAGCCTTTGCATCTAAGAAATGTTACTGCAATTGTTGCTACACCCATAGGATTTTGTATTGATTTTTGGCAAAGAAGTAATCAATTCTTTCCAATCCCCTAAAGGGCTGAAAAAACTCCAGAGGTTGGAGGACATTCATTTCCCTACAGACTTTATATCTATTTATCTATGTTTATGTAAATTGTTTTCTTCTTCCCCCTTCTTTTCTTTCTATAGAATCAAATTTAGAACTTACCGTGTTGGATGATCCAGGATGGAGGTGTATCAATTTTAAAGTTAGACATGGCTAAGAATAACCGCGGTGGTACTCTTAGTCGGCCTGTTTCTGTTCAACGTGCCCTGTCAATTCTTGAGATGGAGGTGGAGCAGATAAATAAAGGAAAATATGAGCATTACATGCAAAAAGAAATTCATGAGCAACCAGAATCTGTGACTACTACGATGCGAGGGAGGCTTATTCGTGGAGGATCATCTAAAGCAAAGACTGTTCTTTTGGGGGGCCTAAAGTATCACCTCAAAACTATACGGAGGAGCAGAAGGATTGTTTTTATTGGGTGTGGCACAAGTTGCAATGCAGCTTTAGCTGCAAGGTCCATTGTGGAAGAGCTCTCTGGTCAGTCTGATCTCTATCATCATCTAGTGGAGTCATTGGGATTTCGTGCACTAATGGTTTGACTGGTTTTATTTGTCTATTAGGTATTCCTGTAACCATGGAGATTGCCAGTGACTTGGTGGATAGACAGGGACCAATATATAGAGAAGACACAGCTGTCTTTGTTAGTCAATTGGGAGGAACTGCTGACACTTTGCTTGCACTGGAGTATGCTTTAGAAAATGGCGCATTATGTGTTGGCATTACAAACACTGTTGGTAGTGAAATTGCTAGGCGTACCCACTGCGGTGTTCATATAAATGCGGGCTGTGAGATAGGAGTGGCCAGTACAAAGGTACATAAATCATAGTTTCTAGACTTTTAATTGCTATTATCTTTGGCTTCATTTTACCTCCTTGATCAACAGGCATATACGAGCCAAATCATTGTGATGGCTATGTTGGCTCTTGCAATCGGAGGTGACACACTCTCGAATCAAGCAAGAAGAGAAGTAATAATAGATGGTCTAGTTGACTTGCCATGTACACATTCATTTGATGTTACGGTCCTCTTATTCCTGTTTTGTTTTAGGATACATGTAACTCTAAAGGTTCATGTTTCATTTGCTTTTCTTTTTTTGTACGTGTATGGATGATTTCAGGTAAGGTGAAAGAAGTACTCAAGCTTGATAACGAAATAAAAGATCTTGCTAAGCTACTGATTGCTGAGCAATCGCTTCTTGTATTTGGAAGAGGTTATAACTATGCAACAGCTCTTGAAGGTGCTTTGAAGGTAAAGGAGGTAGCACTGATGCACAGTGAAGGAATACTTGCTGGCGAAATGAAACATGGTCCGTTGGCTTTAGTCGATGCAAATCTCCCTATTGCAGTAATTGCCACTCGTGATGCTTGTTTCAGGTTAGTTTTTATCTTATAAAGTGTGTTTACACAAGTTTCCTTCCTATTTGCTGAAATTTTGCTAATGTGCAGCAAACAGCAATCCGTCATTCAGCAGCTTAATGCAAGGAAAGGCCGACTGATAGTAATGTGCACAAAAGGAGATGCAGCATCTGTTTCTGTTGGTGGATCCTGTAGAGTAATTGAAGTTCCTCAGGTTGAGGACTGTTTGCAGCCTGTAGTTAACGTCGTTCCGTTACAGGTAGCCCTTCTAATATTGCTTTAGGTGCATATTGCAATACTTCAATGGATCTCTCTATTTTTTTTTTTTTTTTTTTTTTTTTTTTTTTTTTGGCAAGTGCCGGTCATACTTTTGGCCCTAAACCTTTTTGCTGTGAATAAATTTCTATCCTATTTATAGCTCTTGCTCTATAGTAACACTTTTGTGGAAAGATAAGCATGACAGTAGTGTTACCTAGTCTTGATCTTAATGTAATCTTGATAGAGTTTGTGGGAGAACATGGAATTAGCGAAGAGTTCCTCCTTTACCTCATGACACCTAAGATAAAGCTACTATTCTGTGCTTCTAGGTGATCTGGAGTTAAAATGCCGTAACTTATAGAGCTTTGAAGTGCATGTCTTAGGGTTAGTAGATTGTCACACAAATCTCCTCCTCATGTCTTGAGAGAGTTTCTGGGAAAACATGGAATTAGGGAAAAGTTTATCCTTTACCTCATGACATTTAAGATAAAGCTACAATTCTGTGCTTCTAGCAATTTGGAGGTTAAAATGCTGTAGCTTATGGGCTGTGAAGTGTCACATGAATGGCTTTCTGTTTCCTCATAGAAGGAGCTGCTTCAATTTCTGGGTGCGAATGTCTGTCATTTTGCAAAGTACTACTGTCTTTTCACTTATAAAATATCTTAAACAGTTGTGTGTGTGTTACATATATATACATACACATATGTGTGTGTGTGTATTTTTTTTTCATTCAGGGGTCAAATGGCAGATTGTCCTTTAGTAGACCTAGCATTTTATACAGAAGGGCAATTTTTTAAAATCCTGTTATAATCAAATCTACACTAAGAAATCAGATAGTTGAGTAATGTCATGTTCTGGTTGGGATTGGACTGCAAACATGAATCTTTGTTTTACTTAGTTGGCTGGCTGATTGCTTTTAACCTTAACTCTTATACCCTGTGATGTGACTCTTTCCTACCATAAACGTGCATAAGAATGAAATCTACACTATGAAACAGGATATTAAGTAAGGTCATTCTATGTTTGTGTCAATTCCGAACAAGAATCTTTATATTAGTTTGACAGCCAGCTTATTGTTTCCGACCTTACTGCATATACCTTGTGTATGACTCCTGTTTATCATAAATCTGCAACTCACAACGCTCCTAGAACATCTTGTAGAAAGTCAATTGCCCAATTAGTTTTAATTTCCTAGTTCATGTTTATTAGTTCTAATTGATCAAATAACAAAATACAATAAGCGCACACTAGTGAATTTGTAAGAGAACAGTTCTGTGATATGACCTCAGCTGCTGTGAATGACTGGGGAAAAAAAATACTCTTTTCTCTTAAATGGCCATAACGAGTTTCTAGTTTTAAGGTGCAATTTGAAGATTTATGATATCTATACCTTTAAAGTAAGACAAAGTCTGACAATTTCCATAAATCCAAAGATTTATGATATCTATACAGAGAAGAGGAATGATGAAGTGTAGGACTAGAAGTCAAACTAGATCACTCCTCTTTCAGTTAAGTGCCTACTAGAGGTTAACTTAGACCACTCCTTGTCCAATCATTCTCTCAGTTAGATTGACTATTCCTATTATTCCTAATAGTGTGATTCTTTTGGATTAGGTAAGTTATTACGTCTAATAATAATGTACAAAGGTCTGGAAGCCATACTTTGTTACACCTCTGCTTTTGACTAAGCTGCCAATAGTAACAGATAGACCAGTCCTTTTTCAATTAAGTACCTTATAAAGTTTTCAGCAAAAAGAAAAAAAAGTTAAGTGCCTAATCAATTTGATGTATTTATTTGGTGCTTAATTGATAGGATAAGATGTACTTCTCATGGATATATAACTAACCGCCCAATCAAAGATAATTCCCCATTAAATAAAAAATCGAACATGTATGGCCACAAAAAGATTCAACAAGAATTGAATGCAAAAGTTCAGTAAATCTAATAAACACAATCGCCACAAAATTCAATTAAAACAACTCCAAGTTAGAGACATTGGATTCCACTATTCCTAATACAAAAGAATATGCTCAATATACCATTTAAACATCACAAGAATAATGTTAATTTCGACATGGTAAACTTAGATACAGAGATTTAGAGAAAACTTGTCTCTCCTCTTCCTCTCTTCATCCTTCTCCAAGGATTCCATTCCTCTCTTCATTCTTCTCCAAGGATTCCATTGGATATTCTCTTCTCTATTCAGGCGAAAACTTCTAGCATTTAGAATCACCCTTTTTAGTGTTGAATGTATCCATATATAGTGCTCGAAATCCAGGCTTGAGTACCAAAGATTTTGATTTACTGACTGAGGCGTTGCAACACGCTGTTGCAGTGCTAACCAGAGGTGCTATTGCAGCTCTAGTCTCAAGCTCCGTCTTTTCATGTCTCTCTCTCTCTCTCTCCAAATTGCTTATTTCTTCAGTCCCACATCAGTTGAGAGAAATTAACTAATTAAGTGAAAAAACATAGAATATTTAGGGGAAATTGGATTCACTGGGAACATTCTGCATGTGTAAATTCAAGCCTATTATTACTTTTCTGATTTCTTCTATAATTTGTCAATCCTATGAGCTTCATCGATCTTTATAGTCTTTTGATCTTATCTTCCTGGAATTCTGGTGCCAGTGCCAAGCAAAAATTAGCTGTCAAGTTTTCTCCTCTTTAGTGGGTCACAGCTTATTATTTCAATTTCTTAAGCCTTGGTGTTGGGCAGCTCACTGACATTATAAGGTACACACACACACACACGTGGTATGTTTGTGATGTGCATTTCTCCATAATTTTCTTTGTTTCCTTAATTAACATTCTCCTCATTTTAGGATAAGGAACTTCAATGTGTTGCTCAATTTACTGGCTAAGTGGAAATTCTTGGAATACAAGCTTCTTTTATGATTAATGTTCCATAATAATTTCTGGCCAGCAAATTCAATGATCTACAAACTGCTAGCTAAATTCTGTTCTAAAGATATGTTCTATATATTTACCTTCTTTGTCATGTTTTTCAGTTATTGGCATATCATTTGACTGTTCTACGTGGACACAATGTTGATCAACCTCGCAATCTTGCAAAGAGTGTGACAACCCAGTGAGCTGCATGTTAACCTTCAGCTCACCTTGCGACAGTTAGGCAAGCAAGGTGGAACTCAACCATTTTTGAGTCTTCTGCTATGTTAATACCATTTGACGACAAGAATTTGATGGACATGGATCAGTGCACCTTTGGCATTTGTGTCGTTTTTCCACAGGTGATATTGACCCCAATATATTTATTTCAATATGCGACGTTGGTAACACATTTAAGTATTTAGCCGAGCCATGCTCTACTCTGTTTACTTGGTGTTATTAACATTTGCTTCTGTATTGTCCTGTTGAGAAGCAGTTATAGAATCGAGCTAATGTTATAGATTAAGAAATTTTTAAGGGTAGACAAGGAGCATGTTGTGAAAAATCTCACAATTCATCTGTTTAACTCTTATTTTGTTAATATTGTAATGTGGATACAATGAGAGCATTTGTATCTCAAGAGTTTATCTCGGCACAAGTGTCCTGTGATGTTCGCAATTTTACTTGTATGTTCGGATTCGGCCCAGAAACTGCTTTAATACATTATGAATACAGGTCTTTAATAAAGTCAAAGGAGATCACAGAAGCTACAAGAGAAGTGAGAGAGTGCTTTGCAGAAGAGAAGGTGATAATGTTGAGGCTGATATGAGTTACAGTACTAATCTTGTACTCCCCCTAGTGCTGGGTTTTCCATCCTATATACCTATGTCTAATAGGTTTGTGTACCATCAATGTTGATTGTTGAAGTAGTTCATGTCAAAATCTGGTGGTGGCAAAATAGATTAAGAAAAACAGTTATCCATCCATATTATCCACTAAAAAATGGATTGGATAATGAACTTTTTAAATATAGGTCAAATATGGATAAGAACCATATTGTACACTTAGAAAATAAATAACTAATGTGTTAAACTCTTACACTTATAAAGACTCAAATTAGGGGTTCCTTAATTTTGGGAGATTAGGAATTCTCCAAAAAATGATCATATTCAAGAAGCCATGGATAATATGGTTATCCATACTATTCGCCGGTTAACTCATTTTCTATCCGTATTAAATATGGGTCGGTCCTAAAAAGAGATTTATACATGAAAGTAATGTAACGTATACATGTTTTTTACACAAACAGTACATACTAACATAGAACTTAAACTCTTACAATTACATATAAGGATTAATTACCTCCTATAGCAAAGATTGATGCCTTATTTATTTTAAATAAATATCCTTTTAAAAATTATATTCCATAGCTACCTTTTGATTTTTCATAGCCAAATATCTATTTATGGTCACCTCCTACCCTTAAGCCATAAAATAAGCTTTGTATTATTTTTCTCTCTCATATCCCCTCAAATTTCTCCTATCCCCTACCTCATATCTATTCTCCCTCTCTCTCTCTCTCTCTCTACTTAACCTACTGGCTCTTCTCCGCCTCCGAACGCCTCCACGCTTCTCTCTATCCCTCCGTCCCTCTCATAACCAACTGGTTCAAATTGCCTCCGACCTGATTACAAGTAGATAAGGCCTTAAAAGTCGTCTCCACTCGCCGGTCCGGCGAGGAGAAAGAGAGCGAAATTGTGCTTGGGAATACTGAATTTAAGGACTTCGCGGTGGAGGTATTTGCAGACGCTATCGTTTCGGGGACTAGGAAAGAGTTGTCGAAGCGGGTTCCATTGGGGGCTTTTGGTATTGTTTGTGTTGGTGCGGTGGTGAAGCCCGGAAAAGAATTGGTTGCGGCGACAATTGGTGCTTACGCGTTTGGTGTTGCCACTTCGGTATACGTAAGCTTAGGGTTGTTCTTGAACAAAGACGATGGAGTTGGGGGCTGAGCAACTTGAATTTTCTGTTAATATATTTCAATGTATCTCGATGTATTTCATTGTATTCATTGTCTTTTTTTTCATTGTATTTCAATGTATCTTGTTGTATTCTATGTATTTCATTGTATTCATTGTCTTTTTTTTAATTGTATTGTATTCACTGTCTCGCTATATTCCATGAATGTATTCATATGTTTTTTTTAATTAATATAATTTATGTATTCAGATGTATTATATGATTTCTCTGAATATTGCTATGTTTTTGGGGTGTTTTTCGGTTGAGAATCTTTTTTATAACTGAAAATACAAAATTTGTGTGTTATAATTGAGTTTGTTGAGTTATATTAGGAGTCTATTATGTTAATTGATTCACTTTTCGTTTAAAAACAGTGTAATCCCCTGTTTCACGCCGTGAATACAGTCGAATACAATAATCTGTCCAGCTGTAATCCCATGTTTCACGCCATGAATACATTCAAGTACACTCGAATACAAAAATCTGTCTAGCTGTAATCCTCTGTTTTACGTCTAGAAATGCAGTTGTATTCGTGAATACAGTAGCTTAAATACATCGAATACACTCTAAAAAATCTGAAAACATAGCTATAGGAAGTAATATAGTAAATGGTAGCTACAACTAGCTAATAACCACTAAAACATAGTGATTTGTGAAAGTCTCTCTACATATAATTCATGGCAATTATTCAAGTGTTTATGAATTCTGACAAATAATCAAATTCAAGATCAATTCTCCACGAAAAGAATTTGAAGATACTTTGGAGATTATCTCTTTTATTCTAAATCAAAGATTAAATTGTGTCAAATTTCTACTCCCTCCGTTCCAATTTATGTAAACTTGTTTGACTGGGCACGGAGTTTAAGAAAAAAATGAAAACTTTTGAAATTTGTGGTCCTAAACAAGTCAAAAAGGACCTAGAGTATTTGTGTGGTTACAGAAGTTTCTCATTAAGGGTATAATTGTAAGTTTAAATTAAATTGTTACCAAATTTAGAAAGGGGTCATTCTTTTTGAAACGGATAAAAAGTAAATAGATTCACATAAACTGAAACGGGGATTTTTTTCTTCAAAACTCTAACATTGTGCGTACAACCCAACCAAAAAAAAAAAAAAGACTAGGTCGATGAAATTTGGTCCACATTTGAAGGAAAAAATATGTGGTAGAAAATGATAAGATACAAGTAATAAGTGGAAGGCAATGAACACATAAATTGATTAGAATTGGGTGGGGTGCATCTATTGAATATGCTAAGCATGGCTTGTGTGGGGAGTAGTGTAAGCGGTAGCATCTGCGGAGCGGGAATAATTAATGCCAATAGATGTTCCAACATATTCGGCAACAAAATACCATTATTAACTAGCAGAAGAAGGGGAGTGAGAATAGAAGCAGCAGAAAACATGGCTGCGGAGATAGCGGGAGTGAAGGTCATTAAGAACCCCCCTGAATCTAAACTCACTGACCTCGGCGTCAGATCTTGGCCCAAGTATACTTCTTTTTCTCTTCTTTATTTTATGTTTTGATTTTGCTACTTACGTACGTTACTTTTTTCATTCAATTCTCTTTGTATTTCTATAGTAACATTTAAACCCTAACATAAGAGTAACCCCTTTTGCTACCACCAAGGAGTGTGGTAGAATGTATCGAATTAGGGAATGCTTCCCCCTTTGAATTAGTCCGGCAAGTGAGTACTGGATAACCAATTTTTGTTAGCGGAGCTACCTTTGTCCGTACCAATTGGAGGGTGTACGGTTTGACACCCGTTGGATGATGAGCCAGCTCCTCTACCCTACTTCACTTAAATATCAAGCTTTTGTCCTCAACAAGTGTACTTAACATTGAAGCAAATATTAAGGCTCCATTTGTAGTTTTATGGCTCTAAGGGTCAGAGCAATGACGGAATCAGAATTTTAATTCAAAATATAAAGAAGCAAACATACGAAAAAACCAAGGGTGCTCAACATATTAGTATATTTACATAAAAAAGTTTAAACCTATCTACACTAGGAATTTCGGCGAACTCCGCCCCTGCCTCAGCGATTTCTCGGTTATTCAAAAACTATTTGCTAAAAAATACAAATCACTCTTCTGTGCTCTTTCATGAGGTTTATCCTTGTGAACATCTTTTCATTTGCTGATAGATCACTCTATTGCAAAAGCCTGAGCTCTTCCATTTAGCTCTGATGGATATCAAATCAACTAAACAAGCTCTGATTAAAATCACTTTGAAAGTTAGTCAAATTCTCATGTTGGCTCCACCTCATCATGACCACAGTGGTTATTTTTAGAGAGAGAAAAAAGCTATTTTGATGGTTATTGCTGCTATCTTAGAAGTCACACCATCCATGATTTCTACAACCTTAAAGCTGCAAATTTCTCCTTACCTTCACGCCGATAAAATCAAAGGAGCTTCCAATCATCTTATTCAAATAACCAACCATTATCCAACCTTTAGTTTCTCGTCTTTTTTCAGAAATATTTTACCTGGCCGATGACTCCATGAAATGCACGCATCCATTTGACTTAATTTTCTCCTTCAATTAGATCCCCTGACATCCCTTTAGTCATCTTATGTTTTCTCCTTTTTTCCTTTTTGGGGATTAGACTTAATTATCTTAATAAGTTTGTAAGTTTCTGCCATGTCTCCACTTTTAAGATCTCAAGGGTGGATGGACTGACACTGTAATCATCAACATTGCGGGGAGAAAACACTATAAGTAGATAAACCGATAAAAGAAACATTATAAGTAGAGAATGTCTGTAGAAAAGAAAATTCAGGCTTTGGCAAGCATGCATAAGCTCAAGGAAGATGCCATTCATTTAAGTTAGAAGTGCAGTTTTGGGTGGCACTGGATTTAGTGCACATATGTGAGCGTGCTTTAATCTTGTGAAATAGTTTACTCAATTTTAGTTTTATCCTAACTGAAAGGAATACTTTTCCCTTTAGCTCCAAGTCTTAAAATGATATTTTGGCCTCTCTGACCTGCGTGTAGAGAAGATTTGCCTTGTTTTTTCTTCTTGATCTCTGAAGTTAGATGGCCAAGAGAAATTTCAAAATATTGTTCCTCATCATAACACACTTTTGACATTTTCTCATGCTCCTGCTCTGTGGAATTCTTGATGTGGTAAGAACTGTTTTATGTAAATTCTGGATATCACGTTGTTTATCCACCTGAAGTCTTATTGACATTCAATTTTCCAGGGACAGGTAATTTCCGTTTCAAACCTAGGCAGCATCTTTCGCTTGTGTACTTCCACTTTCCTGATCTTTGTAGATAAATATAGTGGTTAGGCATGCGAAATAGAAGATCTTTTCCTCCTCTGATAGGATTAAACTTGAACTCGATTAGCAGAGAAGAGAAGTAAATAAAGGGGAGAAAAATAAAAGAGGGGAGGGGATAATACAACAGCTTTCTACAGTACCTAAGCAGAATACTATGTGATTTAGACGATGCCCTCTAATTGTGATTAAGCATCAAATTATAAGAATTGGGGCCTGTTAGATGAAATATACCTCCATAATTTAAATTCAGAATTTTATTTTTGTCTCCCAGACTCTGCGGATAGCGGGACTTTAGTGCACCGGGCTGCCTTTTTTGTCTCCCAAGAGACTGAAGCTTGCAAAAGTAATCGGTATGGTGAATTTCAAGGTTACATCAAACCTTCCTTGAAAGTGAAACTTTTACCTAGAGGTAGAAGGTACTTTACAATGCTTAGAAACAGATTGCGCCATGTTAAAATGGGGATCCTTATTAAACCTTCACTGGCTGATTCACTCTGATGCACCATGTTTAAAGGGGTGGTCTATCTTCTGTTGCTCCTTCTACCCTGGAATTGTCTCCTAGTAGCACATCATTTCATCCAGAATCTTTTTTTTTTTTTGCTTAATCTGACTGTTGTTTTACATATTTGTTTACTCTAAACGCTATTTTTTTNATGGGTCTGATGAGATTGTTGAGATAGGCGCAGGCGACTTGGTTGAGTTCCCAAAAGGAATGAGCTGTACTTGGGATGTTTCTGAAGAAGTGGACAAGCATTATAACTTTGAGTAAATGAGTTGTAGTCTCCAGACCCTTGTTGTAATAAATTTAAGCAGAATGTTTTAACTTGTCTTTAATACAGGTTTCTGATGCATGCTGCGTAAGATAGCTGAAATCTTGGACTGCAGATGTATAAGGATTTTCACCAGATTAGAGTAATGCTTTTGTCATTTATACATTTCATGGTCATTGAGGTTTATCTACTAATTTGTTGTATGCTAGAGCTTTCCTCTTATCTCTTTACTTTCATTTCTTTCCATATCTTGCACCTAGCACACACCTGTACGCATACGCTTCACACGAGCACGAAGAGGAAAACCTCCCTCTCGAGGGTAAGCCTCAGTCCTGATACCACTAGTATTTACTTGGATTATTTTTCAGGGACTACACTAACTTGGACACAACTAGATACAGCTAGTGCCTAATAAGGTGCTATGGAGCATCATCCTAGGAACTAAATGGTCAAACACGCATACAAGAAGCATCTTTTTTATATCGTGACAATCCTAAATCACAGAAATGCGGGGCCGAAAGCAAGATTATTTAAGTCATGAATTTAATTAAGAATACAACTCCATATTGGTTGATCCATCTAGTTGGACTTCACAAGGTGAACCCAGTTTATTAGCTTGGTGCGCATTCGGATGTCACTTCATTTAGAAGCCGAAATTCATGCCAGTGCTGAGTGACGACGCATCCCTAGTCAAATACGATCATGTCACATGCCAAGTAAATCAACAGGACAATTAAAGTCTTTTAAGTTTTCAAGTAACGTGGCCCAACCAGTTCACATATTCAATTTTCGTTGGTATGACCGTATGATAATTCCAGGAAGTCAATTAAATGGAATAAAATAGGTTATCTGCAACAGTTATCTCTCTTTCATAGTTATAAATAGAGGTCCCTATAAACTAAGAGGACACACTAGAAATTGCAGGAAGCCGCCAAAAAGAGCTTTTAAAAACAAGTTGGTGTTTGTTTGGTCTTTTGCAACAATAGTTTTACGAAAGCTCAAACAAATTGCTACCAGTATTGCTCTTTCAATTTTCAAGCATTCAAGTACTTTTCTCATAGAAACTCTTTCCAACAACCTAAAAACTAAGTTTGCAAAAACTAAAAATAAAACAAATTAATATTAAAAACTATCCAAGTGTTAGTTTACAAGTTTCAAGCATTTAAGTTCATGGTCAAAATTTATCGCTTGCATGACTGAGCGGACGTTTCAGAATAGCTCGGATTTTCACTTAGATATAAGCACTAATATAATTTTAGTAGAGAGGTTGTTGCCTAAAAAGTATTCTGCCGTAAATAAAGCTTGCACATGATAATGGAAATATTAAAATACAAGTTGACCAAAACATAAATTACAAATTTAATACTATATAAGACATAAATGAGTAGAAACAAAAGTTGACATCAACCTAGCAATCGAAATTAATAAACTAGTATCTGTTTGATTCAAAAGATATGGGAATCTTTATGAACAAATCAATTAAAGAAAATAAAACGGTAAATCTTAATTAAACATAATAAATTCCAGAACAATGAGCTAATTGAAACTCTTCAGTGTGGCTCCCATTAATCAATGCGAGAAGTTGTTTTACATGTTTTTCTGGAAATAGCTTCGTGCTTCTTTTCATTATGAAGATTACAGAAGAGAGAACTAGGGGGAGAGGAAGAAGTGAAGAACCCCCCCCCCTAACCGAAGGTTTTCCCATATTATATATAGTCATGGGACCTTTGCTATTTACTTAGTCCGACACTCTCTCATACTATGTCTGCCTTGGTCGTCCTCTAAACACTATTTCTTCTGAATCGACGGGTATCGAGAGTGTCGGATGTGGAATGACCATGTTGTCTTTCGCTGCCTTGCCGCCTGGACGGGATGTCGGTTAGCTTGATCGCAGCGGTCAGATTTTGACCAATACAGTTAGTCTCTCCATCTGTCGGGGTCGTCCCCTGTCAGGCCAGACAGACATATCATGATTGCTACGAATTCAAGAGAAATCTGACTACTTGTTTCTTGGTTATGCTTCTTAGGTTTCAAATGGGATGACGACGCTCTTTCGATATCCTTGGACCGTTGCGGCTGTTTCGGAACCAAAACATCATTTGGTATTAAAACATTGTTTTGTGGTTGCCGCCATTTTGACACACGTTTCTGGGGAACCGAAACGTTTCGTGCCCTATCAGATTCCATTGGCGACTCTTGGGTTTCGTGCTTTGAGGATTTATGTCTCTTATAAATAGAAGGAAAACATCATTCGATTGACACACTTCTTTTCCCTTTGCTTGAAAGAATTCTGCGAATATACTTTCTTCTTGATACTCCGAATTTTCATTCGCCCCCAGTTGACCGAAAACTTTCACCCTTCCTTTCCATTGTCTTTTTGCCACACCATCTTGACAAAATGACTGGTGATTCTTCTCGCACTGATCTCCCTGTCACAATTTCGGTGCCGGAAAACGTTGCTCTGGCCACCGGAGGAGTAGAAGTGGTGGAAGATGAGGAGGTCCCGTCGGTAGCCGAGATCTTGCCTCGTCCTGAGAGAGAATGGACCGATTTCTGTAGTCGCGCCGGGGTGGAGCTGGAACATGTCCCCTCTGTTATAAAAGAAGAAGACATTGCAGAGTTGAAAGCTAGGTGGGGAATCCCCAGTTACGTTGGCATGCGGCCAGTGGTAGGGAACGACATAGTCCATTTTGCCGCCCTGGGTACTGCATGTTCTACGCCTACCCCTTTCTTATTGGATACACACTTCCTCTCCCTCTCCTGGTGGTAGATTTCTGCCGTGTTTACGACGTATGCCCCGCCCAACTTTTGTCGTACCTGTACAAGTTGTTCCTTATGTTGCTCAAGTTTGCGAAACTCGCCGGTCGTGAGATCACTTTGGATCACATGCTCAATATCTTTTCCCCCCAATTCATTCGCGGCACGATGATTCACATGCGTCCTTGGGGGTCGAAGAGTCTGGTGGTGAAAATGGACGATAGGGCTAACCGTCGTTTTTACGAGAATTATTTCTATGTGCGGACTAAGCACATTGTGGCGGATCAAACGAGGTTCCCTGAGAAGTGGAACTTTGAGCTTAAGTTTCTTATGTTTTTAGTCGGTGAGATGCCCGACCACTTTTTGTTACAGTACTAAACCCTGTTACATCTCTGCAACTGAGAAATTTCCCTCTCCATCTGTCGAAGGTATCCACGAGTGGGTGAGTGCCATCCTCCCTTATACGACGGGGGTTCGCACATGGTCAGCCTTTTATGAAAAATTTGGACGTAGGCCCCTAACAGGTGAGATGTCGTTTCTGTTTGCTATTTATTCTCTCTTTTTACTTAGTTTCTTATGTGCTATTTGTCGATGTCAGGGAGAGTGCGGAGAGCGAGGGCTCCTCCATCAGCTTTTCGTCAATCGGCATCGTCTGCTCGCCCCGCTGCAGCACCTACCACTCGGTCTTCATCGAAGGCTGTTTCAGTTGAGTTTGCGGTTGTGGTTATTCCTGCGGAGGCCACTTCTCAGACTGAGGTCCCGACTCGTGTCGCTCGTTTGATGGTTGAATCTCCCCATGCTAAGGAAGAAGAAGGGCCGTCCAAGAGGCGGCGAGTGGAATTCGAGACAACCCCTCCAACTGTAATACACCTGGACGACTTTCCCTTGACGTGATCTAGGGTGGGGATCGATACCGCTCCTCCCGTAAAGATAGAGCCGGTCATCGTATCTGCCCCGTCGACGGAGATTCCTGCCATTATTGTTGATCAGCAACCTGCCGTGATGGGGGCCAGATTTCTTCCGCCGTTGTGGTTTCAGATGTACCCTCGTCCTCCGTACCTAGTCGTGCTTCCTCCTCAACTGCTGAAAGAGGAAAGGGCACTGTGGTCGACGACTATGAATCCGAGTCGGACCTCGATCCTGATGATGTTAGGATGTTTGAAGAGGGTATTACCCACTCTATGGTTCATGCGGGAGGCCCGACCCGTATTCTTGAGATCTCTTCAGATGTTAATCTCCTGGGGGACACGGAGGATTTGGTACCGCAGTTCGATATTTTCTGCTCCGCTGCCGAGAACGAGGCTCTCTGGAATGTTCCTGATAGCGACTTGATGAATGAAGTGGCCGCTATGGGACTGAGGGTATATTTCGCCTTTCCTTCATGTTTCTTTTATTTTTCTGGATAATACGTTCTTAACTTGTCTTTTTGTTTTTCAGACGTACATGTTGGAAATCGAGAGTGCTCGTAGGGCTGACATTTGGACGAAGATTTTCCTGAAGGCATTGGAGAAATATCAGCGCTATCGCAATAAGTGCCGTGAGTTACACGAGCGGCTGAGGGAGAATCTTGGTGCTTAATCCCTCGGCGAAGAACTGGAGAAGAGAGACCAGCAGTTGATGGAGGCCGTTCGCAGAAATAGTGTGCTCGAGGAGAAACTTCGCGCGAAGGACGAAGAGCTTGAGTTAGGCAAGGGGGTAGCCGCAGAGTATGACTATCTGTAGGGGAGACTGAGGTCGATGCAGGCCGAGATGGATCAGAATCTTATCAAGGTTGAGGCGATGAGTGCGGAGTGGATGGGAAAGTTGGCCGAGTTGGAGAGAAAGGTTGCCGGGTTGGAGAGTAT